AGTCCAGGAGCCAAGCTTGCCAAGATTAAATTCACAGTATTATTCTGCTGAGATTCCTGCTTCAGCAAAACTTGGCATAATATTGCTGTGGAGAAAGATGCCTGCTGCCTACTGCCCACTCTTTATAGACTCTCAAAATAAACAAATGGATCCAATCTATACAGCTGTCTGGCATTAAATTTACACCTCTCTGAGTGGAATCTATGTTGAAAAGAAATTTGGATTAACTTTCACTTAAAATATAATGCCACACAAAGGCATTATTTCCACAGCTTAAACATTCTGCCTCTTGCCTTCCCATAATCACATCATTTCAGCTTTATATTAAAAGTGTAAACACTTTTAACTGAAAATAAATCCCACTAGTTTCAACAGGATTTAATTTTGGACCTGAAGTGATGTAGCTCCAAAATAGTTTTCTTTCTATAAAGTTTTCTGAATATGCTGTTTCCCCTGTTAGTTTCAATTTGTGCATGACATTTGCCAAAGACAGGAAAGCAAGCAGTGTTAAGAATATAATGCTACTTGGTTTCCTGTCTGGAATGTAAAGTATATTCTAGACCTAGAAGTGAATAAAAAAATGAAATAATTCCAACCCCTTTCAAAATCACCAGAGATGCAAGTCCTAATTTATTATATAAAAAGAGTTAAATAAAAATTGGAAAAGGCAATTTTAGAATAACTACTCAAGACGAAGAAGGCTGCATTAGTTTGAGAGAATCCAGAAAGTTTTATGGAAATTTATGAGTTGGATCTCTTTGGACCACATAAGGTTGGATACAAATTGTAGAGTAATTTTTCAGTTTTCAGTCAGAAATAAAATATTAAGTCAGTACAAAATATATATTTCTATTTGATCAATCCTACTTCCTTTATTTGTTAATTTATGCTTTATTTTGAAATAACAAAATAGAAATGTTGAGCAGGAAATGAGAGGGATACAGTAGCAAACAATGTTATAACACAATGGAAGAAAATATAGTTTAAATCCATAGTATATTTTTTAAAAAAATGAAACACTGATAAGAATAATAAAAGTCAACTTTGTCACTCCAAAGAATGCAGATAAAAGATCTAGGGCACCAAAAAAAAGAGAAACAAAAAAAAAAATAGAATGCTTCACTAAATGTGACTATGAACGTCTAGAATTTGATCTGCTGGCTTCCCCACATTTTTGTTCAGAGCTGAAATATGTAAAACAGATGAAGAACCTGATAGCCCTCATCTTCCTCTTAAATTATTCCCCTCCCCAATGAATCAAGATTTTTTTGGAAAAAAAAATCACATTGTTCTCCTAAAGAAAACTTTATAGCATTTGTCAAAAATATCCTACAATTTTTCATTCATTCAACTGATGAAGACAGTCATTCCAATAGCAATAGCCTGTGAAATCAAAAGAGACATTACAAAAAAGTCTGAATTCATTGGACATTATCTGACAGAAGCTAAAGCAGTTTATTTTTATCAAACATAGTTTATATTTCCAACTATGAATTAATGGAGCTGTTATCAAGATATTGCAGAAAGAAGAAATACTTTCCAGGACAGCCTGCATTGGGATTTTTCTTTTAAATAATAATATATAGAAAAGGAACCCCCCCCTTTCTTACTCTTCTAAGACAGAGAAATTCTAGAAATATTGCAATATCTGGTGTATCAGCACCAGACACAAACTCAGAACTAGCAGCACAGAATGCAACCTGCTGGGTTAATGCATAAACTGCATCAGCGCAATGCTCAGCAGGCCCATTCCAATGAGAAACCAGCCTGCAGGTTTTATTATCTAAGTGTTGCAATGCAGTCATTTTGGGAAATATCCTCTCCAACAAGACATAAAAGGTATTCAGATAACTAAAATTAAATTCTTTGAAATTTATGAGCTTCCAGTTCCCTGTACTATAATCAACATTCACAAGACTTTGAGATACATTATTGCAATGTTTGCTGCAGAAGGAAAGAAAAGGGAAGAAAGTATTCATGGTAAGTAACAGAAAAGTACAGAAATAATTCAGAGACTCAGTGAAAGAGAAGAATAACATTCATTCTCTCCTAGCTGCCTGACACTTTAGCCTGGTAAAATAATCTGATCTTGCGCAGCTTTCCGACTTCATTGAGAATTCAGCAGCCCATCTGTAAGCAGAGGCAAGTTCAGTACAGTATTGTAGTAATGGAGAGTGACGTCAAGAGGCAAGCCTACGAACCACCTCCCACTTCTAGTTACAAGCAAAGCATGTGACAGCAGTCAAGGCTGGAGCCTTCACTGCAGTTTCGTCAGAGGTTAAAGTACAAGTGTAAACCACAGTTACAACTTCAATCATTTCCAAAGCAATCACATGCCACTTCAGTTTCAGACTTTAGCCTTGTGCACATTCAACAGAAGAGAAAAAGTAATCCAAGGGATTAACAACACCTTCTAATAATGCACCAAAACCAAGCATTAACCTACCAGAAGTGTTTTGGGGATATACCTTCTAAGTTACATATTTGCACTGGTGCTACTTAGAGACAAATAGCTGTTTATTACATCAGAGCTTGTGAAAATTGTCTTTGTACATGGTTCAGATTTTCAGGAAATGCTCAGTCACTTGGCTTTTTCATCTCCAACATGCAAAAATACAGATTGCTGTACCTCCATTTACATTTGCAAATTTAGAATATACAAGGCCAGACAGCTCAGGTTTTTTGATCACTATACACAAAGTTGCACTTTTAAGTTTATCGACTCTATTACTAGCTGCAGAATGTCAGATCCTTCATCTGTAAGAACACAACCAGAGGGTTTTGTACAATCCTCTGAACTTTTCTGCCTGAGGGTTTTGTTGCTGGTATTTTCTAAAAGCAAGCACATCTTTGTATTGATCCAGGAGAGTTTCCTAATTCTTTATCTGGCATCAGCTAAATAACCCCTCGCAAGGCAAAAATCCCTACTTACAAAATATTTCATTCCTGTTTCTCTAATTCAGATGTCACCATTTTGTATCTAATTCTGTGAAAAGTTCATCTTCACCCCTCCCCCCCACCCAGCCAACACTGTTGCATGACAAACTGGAAAGCTCCAGTACTGGCCCTGGAACAGAAGTGTTCACACTACAGAAGTCTAGCTTGGAGCTGGTCCAGCCTGGTTCTATCTCCCAGATCAACACAAATATGTTTTGGATGAATTGGTGTGACTGAGATAAAGCTATTCCTGCTTGTCTAGGACCAAACCGGAGCAAATTTTCCCCAGCTTTCTTCTAATCAACTAAATGAAGAACCCTGAGAGAAGGCAGGAGTAAAAGAAGGAATATTATTATATGCCGCTTCCCAAATTAAGGCCATTTCTACTTATGGGAAAAACTGGAAGAACAAGGGAGGCACGGAATTGTAACCACAGAAAACTCTGCAACAGCTCATGACTTGAGCTATGTATGATGGTCTTGAAGCATTTGCTCTAGAGCTCCTCTGCTTCTCCTCATGGAAAGGAATGCAGCCTGCTGCCCTTCCAGCAGGAACCCGCTTGTGATCAGCCAGGGCTGCCAAAAAAAGCCTTAATCTGATTTTGACATGCAACTCGGTCCAAAAGGGACAGCAATCTGCAAAATTGCTTATTTGAAGCCACTAAGATCACCACCACCACCCTCAGCGGCGGGTATATAATCAGCAATGACTCACACATACAACCCTAAGACATTAAGTGCTCCCACCAGCAAATCCCTAAGAGACAAGGGAAGAGGGAGGGGGTGAGCATCCATTTATCATTGTTTTTCCACAATCAAACTGAATTGCTGCCAATCTTGCCTCCCCACGATAAAAGAAAAAGCAACAGCCAGCCCAAAGGAAGGGAGGGGGAGTAAATAAACATTGTACCCTGCTCCCTTCATTTCCTATGGATAGCACCCCCAGCCTCTCCCATCGCTCCATCCAGAGTTTATCATTGGGGAGGGGGGACGACCGGCGTTCAGGTTTGGGGGAGCTAAAGGGAGCAGCTCTGCAGCACTGCAAAAGCCAAGACTCGTTATCTGGGACACCACCACTCGTCCACGTGTGAGTGGTGCTGAAAGTGTTCGGATCGGTTTCCAGAGCAATATGGATGGGAAGAGGGGTGCGCAGAGCCACTTAAGTCTCTCCAAGAGCACGCTCTTTCTTCTTCTTTTCCGCCGGATCCTATCTAACTGCAGCGAGCAGAGGACCAGCAACCTTCCGCGGGGGCTGGCAGCATACAACCAACCACCCTATTTTCGTCCATCCCGACTGCTGTTTGAACGAATCCGAGCACCCGAAAGGGCCGCGTTCCTGGCTCTCCAGCCCTGGATGCATTGGAATGTGTCAGATCGCCGGGCAACTAGCAAGCTCTCCATTTTCCTCTCCCCGTGCCCGAGAGAGGAAAAGATCCGCTACGGAAAAATCAAAAGTCCTTACGCTTACGCAAGCAGAGACATATACACACGACGCACATTTCCCGCTCTCTAAGGGGATCACTCCTGCCTCGCAGATCTAAGTCTGCACGTTAGCACTTAAAAAAAAAAAAAAAGCATGGCTGTTCCCGGGATCTTCTGCAGCAGACTTCTAAGTTGCGTCTGAATGCAACCACACACCCCTCATTCTCGGCGCCCCAGATTCTCTGCAGAGTAAATGCGGGCATGCGGCGCCTTTATGTCCGAAACTCTAGTGCATGTCAGATCAAGCACCCGCTGCGTAAAACATCCCAGCGAAGCATGACAGATCGGAATCCCCCCAGCCCCAAATTTCACGGTGCACGGCATTTTAACACCCGCCCGCTCTTGACAGATCGCAGAGCCGGGGTCCCGAATGATTCATGGGTTCCGAAGTCCCTGTAGCCGAGATGTACCGGTGCACGGGGGGATCGGGAATACTCTGAACCCCACAAGCTTAGCACCCCGTCGCTCCAGGCTCTCCCCTCTGGCGACTCCACGGTCCATTAGAATCCCAGCGACTGCTCCGAATATGCCGGCCGCGGGGGGGGTGTCCCCCGAGACTAAGCCGGCGCTCCGAAGCCCTACCTGGCTGTCGGAGAGATAGTTGAAGACGAAGGAGGAAAGCTCTTCATCCAAAAGCGCGCTGCAGTCCGGCTCCGGTTCCGCCATCTTCCTGCTCCTCCGGCAACGGCACGAAACAGCATGCGGCAACGGCAACAGCAAGCACAGTCAGAAACCAGCCAAACCGGGCAGCCGGCGGGGCGAGGCGGAGCCTGGAGCCCGCCGGTTGGAAATGGGCGGTGTCGGGTCAGAGGAGGAGGAGGAGTCGCAGGCAGGAGGCTCGTCTGGGCTGGGCTTCGCGGGAGCGGTGGGGCAGAGCGGCGGCGGGGGCGGCGGCAGAGCTGCTTCTTTCGCGCGCTTTGGGCGGCCAGAGCTCCCGCCCGGGGAGAGGGCTTGCGGCCTGCGTTTCTCAGGGCCGTGTCCGCGCGGATTTCGAGGAGGAAGGAAGAAGCGCAAGAGGCGCGCGCGTCGCCGCCCCGAGGTCGCCAAAAGTGGTTTAGGGTCTCTGATATCTCGAGGGAGCGCGGGAAGCCCTCTCGACTCCTCGAGGGATAGTACTGTAGAGATTCCTCTCCCCGTCTCCTTAAGGGAAAGAGGAGCCGGGGCAGTAAACCAGTCCAGCAATTCTACTTCCTGACCCGACGCTTATCTGTAGTTATCTACTAGAGCGGGAGGAGAAAGCCCTGCACACATGCCTTGAAGTCCTGGGCGGCTCTTGTGGCAGTCCGAATTCCGCTCTTATCGCTGAACAAGTTGTGGAGGGGGTAGATACAGGAAGAGCAATAGTCCTCTTCCACTCCTGGTGACTTCCCTGGTGCCTCAGAGACATTCCGTTTTTCCCTGAAGAAGCAACATTAGCTTTCCATATTATGGGATTTGTTCCTGAGTCTTTAGCAACTCAGCTAGTTTTTCTTTCTGAGAATTACCCTGGGCCACAGTCCCAGCAAAGCTTAGCAAGAATACGCAGGACTGAAGCAAGCAAAGAGATATATTTCATTGAAAGAGATTGTCTCAATAAGATCATGAAGTTCAGAGACTAAAATTACCTAATTCTCTTCACTGTTTCCTTAAGTAATTCCGGGTCTGGCGGGTTCCTGGTAACATTTTTAAACCTTCACCTACTTTCTCAATTCTTATCCCGGGTACAGTGAGCCAATGAGCTTGACGTAGACGTTGGAGTTAAATCTATTCAGAGTGCTACCATTTTCACTCAGCTACAAAATAAACATGTGTTATGCTGAGGAAGTCAAAAGCATCAAGTGTCATATTAGCCAATTAACAGATGTTGCTCTTCATTTCCCTAATAAAGTGAACCTGTTGTAAATATTGTTCACATAGATGATGTGAAAGTGAAGTCTGCAGGTAATGTTTCTATACAGTATGCACTCTCCTGCTACTTTTAATACATTGTATTTTCCCCAGTAACTGAATTTCAGACTCCTGCTGAACTGACATATTGTGATTCTTAGGTCTGGAATGTGATCAGCATCTCTCTTCTCAATCAATATATTAGATGAGAACAAGGAAAAGGAAGACAGCACTAAAAAAGAAAAATCCATTTCTGCATGCTGCTTTGGAACCTGGAGGGAGGGAGGGAGGGAGGGAAGAAGGAAGGAAGGAAGGAAGGACACATAAGCCCTGAATAATATGTGAATATTATAGCTGTCAAACTATCACTGTGGTAAAAGCAAGTATAAAGCAGCATTTGAGACACTCTGCTCATAATGTGTGTGTGTGTGTATAATGTGTATATATACACATTACAAATAGTGTATATATCATTTTGTTTGAGTCAAAGTACAAAATGTTTTCCCCACAAACACAACCCTGTGAGAGAGCTTGGGCTGGGAGTGAATGAGCAATCCAGATGGCTTCCCTACCTAAGGGTAGTCTAGAGCTCATGGTACAATGATGTATAGAACCTTGGAATATTCAATAGACATGTTCCATATCATTACATTACATGTGCAACATTGCCTGCAGTTCAGGGCAGGGCTAGTCTTTCTATTATTATAGTTAGTTGCACAATCAGCCAGATGTTCAGACTGGTTTTGGCATTTTTGTCTACCTATCGAGTCCTTCCCAAGTACTTGGAATAGGCAGATGTCAGTGTTTGATGGTGTTAGAGATATTGTCACAGGATGTAAGCTGTTCTGAGTAAAGCTGCCCAGTGCAATTAACTGATGATTAATTTGTCAATGCCAACAGTGTTCAAGCCGAGGTGGCGCAGCAGTTAGAGTGCAGTACTGCAGGCCACTTCAGCTGACTGTGTTCAGCAGGTCAGCGGTTCAAATCTCACCGGCTCAAGGTTGACTCAGCCTTCCATCCTTCCGAGGTAGGTAAAATGAGGACCCAGATTGTTGGGGGCAATGTAAATATATATAAATATATATATACATTGCTTACTGGTGTACATCTCTTAGAGAGTGCTTGCACTTAAAGCGGTGTATAAGTCTCATAAATAAATAAATAAATAAATAAATAGTACTTCAATTGTTTTGGGATTGCACTCAAGCTATCTATTACTATTAGTACTATCTTTGCTTGCTTTTGCCACAATCTTTTTATTTGTCGGTCTTTGTGTTTTGTTAACTTTTCTAGCTCTTTCTCGTCTATTCTGCTGCCTCCAAGGACTGCCACATCTACTATCCAGTCTTTCTTATCTTTCTTATCGACAATTGTTAAGTAATTGCTTCATTTTGTGCACATTGTGTGGCTTAACTATTGTTACTGTTATTCATCTTGAGCAAAAAACAAGATGGCATCCCCTCTGTATTTCACATGGACGTGGCAGCTGAACTAGCCGTAGCTTCTTTTCAACACTTAGGGTAGCAAGCTAAAATAAGAGGTCTAGGACAGATCAGGTGGCATAAACAGTTCTTTCTTTCAGTAAAGGGAACTACAATATGCAGAATCTGCCACCCTGACATCTGACACAATCTCCTCATTTCATATAATTGAAGAACTAGTCCCTAGTCAAATTGGGGACCGGTTCTAGAAAGGGAACTGTTTTAAGTTGAGTAATGGCACTATATTTCCTGTACTGTCTATTGCTCAGTCATTCACTCACAGTACAGTTTCCCCATCTTTATTCCCAAGCAATCAAGTTTGATCTGCTGTTTCCTTTTTAGAAATGTTCCACCTTGCTTTTAGGCCAAGCATTTAGATATACTGTAGTAGTTCAAGAATGGTCTTCAAATTTTGTCTTACATATTTTAGTCATGTGCACAAAAAAGAAGTAATTATTACAATAAAAACAAATGTACATTGCTGCTTTCTTTTCATTTGGATTGTTAAAATACTTAACATTCATTGCAAATTTTACATTTTTTATAGCCTCCCCTCTCCCCTTTTGTGCTTTGCTGCTCTTCTTATTTGGTTTTTCATATTTACTTCTACCATTGCCTGGAAGCTAATTATACAGCTCTTTCATAAGATATTTAGTGCTGTTAGGGCACAATCAGAATTTTGACTTCTGGCTTAATTTTGCACCATCAATCCCTTCCACAGACACTCACACAGGGAAGACTTCACTCTGCATGTATTAGCTGTAAGGGACAGATGATTGCACATGTTCTTCTTCCTATTGATTGTTCTTTAAAGTTTTCCAAGACATCTCTTTGATTTCTGTGTTTCTCCTCATTGGATAGAACTATAAATAAAATGCAGACCCATAAACATAGACAGAGCTGGTCCTCCTGAAGAGATCAAATTTTCTAGCTGTTGGTACACAGCCAGAAGCATAAAGCTTGTTACTTGTTAGCATATAAAAGCACACCGTAATCATACTGTGCCAATAACTGCAGGGAAAATGGCTGTTGAATATTCTGCAAAGCCTGAACAGAGGGTATGCAGAGCTAAACTAAAGCAGCAAAGAACAAGGCTTTTTACTGACTAGTAGCTGTCTGTCTGTAGGCCAGACAACCCTTTCATCTTTCAGACTCAGTTCTCGTGTTTTGATCCATGTAAAGTAGTAAGGTTTTTTTCCCTCTAAAGGAGTTAATGACTGGGATGAAATCATCTTTAATTTGTAGGAATGAAACCACCCTTCATATTCATTTACTTATCCCAAGCAAATAAAATTAAGTCAGCACTGACAATGTAGGCACCTTAATAATTTAATTTGTCAATATACAACTATCCTGAACAATAGCCAATATTGAAGCTAGATTACCTTCTCCCCAAGATACTGATGTACATAAAGGATTATATTATTTAAAAAAAGATATGTGTACTGTGCTTGAAGTTCTTTACTGAAATGTTTTATAGTCATAGTACAATAGTATTCTTTGTTACCAGCCATTTTAAGACTGTCTATGGTTGTTCCTTTGAAGATTTATGGACCCAGGTTTTCACTCTATAGCAGTATTTTAACTGACATTTGGTGCCTAAATAGGACCTTAAGAGTTCTGTAAGTGAAGGTAGATACCCACATTTTAAAACAAGCATAGTAAAACAACTCAGAGTTTCATGAAAAAAAAGTCTTCATAATAAACCAAAATATGCCCAGCTAGTATTTCATGTTTTATGGCCCATTTTACTTGATAAATTCAGATAATCTTCAATTCTGGACATAACTGTGGAACCAATTTCTTTAAGCTGTCTAACTTTACTAAACCAAGGTTAGTGCCATCATAGTCTCTCTTCTTTCTCTCTGCTGTTGCAAGATATGCCAGCTGTTATCACTTAAGTCTCCTGATAAGCTACAGTCAACTTCAGCTTCCAATTCTTCAGTGAGACTACAGTACTAGGTAAATTCTAAGATTACTGGAAAAAGAACTAGGAACTTTCTAAAACACCTATGATAGCTCTTCAAATTATTCTTCATCGTATATTATTTGTTGAACGGGCAAAGCACTGAGCCCAGTGTGATTCCACAAGTAAGAAATTGACTTAATTTGGTCTGTAGTGAGTTGGTCTGGGAGATCACCTAGTTAATACTTTAATGGAGTTTTGACAAATTATTAAGGATTTTTTTTGCTAGTTACTGCCCGGTCTAGATGGATTAAGAGAGTGTATAAATGTTTTAAAATGAATCAACAGCAGCAGCATCTCCTGATCTTTGTTGACTTTTAGATGAAATCTTTACTGTGCAATCATCATGCTATATTATTGCAATGGTTCCTTGCTGGGTTCATACCTTGCATTAAATCATGATTTAACCATGACATTATTAAGTTGCAATTGGTTGGATTTATGCAACATGTTAAACCAGCATTAAACAAATCCAGTTGCTTCTTACTGCAGTATTTAATCTTTGTCCCTCCTGCTTTCTATTTGTAAGTCTGCTATTATCTTGGCATGGTTTCTTCCATCCTTTTTTCTTATCAAGAAAAAAAAATCCATTAATGAAGAAAAGATAAAATTCTAGGAGCTCCTTTTGATTGCTAGTGTTCAAGCCCTCCATCTGGAAACTTCAACACAAAGAAACTTGCTAAAACAGTCTTCCTATAAATATTATCACATTATGAAGATGTGTCAGGCCCCTATCCAGTGACCAAGCTATTCAAGTTACTAAAAGATATAACAACATTAACATTGCATAAATTTCTTTTGACAAGGTTTTCATATAGTGTATCTCGCAGTGACCTAAATGTTGCCTTTCTGCCATAGGCAGAAACTCAGAATGGAAGCAATATATGCATTTAATTATCTTGAAAGATTTAGAGAAAGCATTCAACGAGTTTTAGTTCAGCACTGAATAAAGGGCAGCTGCTGGTTAGAAAT